AATAATAAAGGGAGAATGTTGAGAGAGGGAGACAGGGAGAGCTGCTTCCCCATTCTCTTCAGACACGTGTAAATCCAGGAAGACTTAATTAATTTAAGTCAGTGGAGAGAATAAAAAGAGGACATAAATGTGTTAATGTTCTTCTGTGTTTACTGAAATGAGGAAAGTAAGCGACGCTTGTTGACACAGCCTCTGAACCGCAGCCGCCTCGGTGGTCCCTTTGCACTTCTGTTTCTGAAGAAGGGATGCAGTTGAAAAAAGCATCCTGTGAACTCAGCCAGCATCTGAAATTCTGCTCGTTATCAAAAAGAAATATTCAATAGCTGCTGAGGTATGGAATTGTTTCTCAAAGCCAAGGAGGCAATAATGGTGGCAATAAACTTTCAAAACCTCCCACTGCTTTTTTCAAACAATTTTGATCAGTGTTTGCACAGATACCAGACTTTCAGGGTTTGAAATTCTCTGCTGTAGCTTGATAACCAGGATGTCTTGTTGCTTAAAAAGATGCATAGCCTTCACCCTTTCTTGTGTCATTGCCTTTGCTCTATGGATGCATTTAAATGCATGTTGTTCTTTCTGTGAACCGGCATCTCTGCTCCCAACAGTAATTACATTTCTAATATAAAACTGAAAGCTACTGAATTCTGAAAGCTTTACTTCTAAGTAGGCATGAATAAGTTTGCATAGATAGACTGCAACACCACTCAGTTCATTATTCAGATAGTTATTTAAAGTTTACTGGGGTTAATATATATCATTATTGTGTTGCTCTTTCCCTTTCCGTCTGGGTTTTCTGGGTATAAGTTGACATCTATAATGGGAAATCTCAGGAGGTGGCAAATGACTAGCAAATATGAAGCAGATTGTTAAAAACTAGACAATCGATGCCCTGTTGGGTCATCATTTCAGAGATATTTCCTTACTGAAACAGAATCTCCTGGGTGGACAAAAAAAGCAGCAGGAGCAGGAGGGACTTCCAACTTCCTGCTGGCTTCCCCATTGAATTCCCTTCTGGGCAAGAAGCTTCAGAACCCTTCTTTCCTTCCTTCCTTCCTTCCTTCCTTCCTTCCTTCCTTCCTTCCTTCCTTCCTTCCTTCCTTCCTTCCTTCCTTCCTTCCCTGTCTCCCTCTCCCCATTCCTTCCTTTCCTCTCCTGACTTTTAAGCATTTTCTCCTCTCTCCCTCCCTCCCTCCCTCCCTTCCTTCCTTCCTTCTTTCCTTCCTTCCTTCCTTCCTCCCTTCCCTAGAATGCCACCTTCTCCATTTACCTTGCTTGTGGGAAGCTTGCAGGGAGAAAGCCACTGGGGAAGTCAGCAGGAAGTTGCCACAAAGACCAGCAGGCAGGTAATAGCTACTGCTGGGTGGGGGAAGGTGCGGAGGATGCAGGTCTGGAATATTACATAGGGATGCATGAGAGGTGCTATATGGATTGGAAAGAGGGTGTTGGTGTGTGCTACAGATGCTTTGTACATCAGGGAAGCTGTGGGGTGGGTAGTGTAGATCAGATTAGTGTCCTGGAGTATGTGACATATGCTGTAAGGCTGGGTAGGACATGTGGGAGTATGGGAAGAGTCAAGAAAGGTATGTGGAGGGTCATGGGATATATAAGTGTCATGCATGTCAAATAGAGCATGAGGGGACATGAGTCAAGAAGAATGTGCGGGCACATTATTAAAGTTTTTTTTACCCTCTTTCTTTATCAATTTATACATTCATGCTTCTTTCTCCTAAGAGACACTGTTTTAATACAGTACATATTTTAAAAACCCAAATTTCTTAAACATAATATATTTTGGGATGTTATTTGCACCAATATATAAATATGTATGTAAATTTCTCCTTAATGTATGTATTTCTTGATCAGAGAATTTACACTGCAGCCTGTTGAAAGGTATAAACATGAAAGATAGCTATATATTCATCTGCATATAGATTAAAAAATGTTCACATTAAAATATAAATCAAACAAAATTACTTCTGTTTGTGTATGAGATATTTGAGAGTTATTCCAGCAGTAGATATGGTAAAGGAAATCTGTAATGGATTTATTTTGCCTCAGATGGTATGATCTACCAAATGAAATGTCATGAGGTCATGGATAAGTGCAGCAAATTATTGATCATGACAGCTAGAATATACTTGGAAAATCTGCCAAAATTAATACTAATATATATTTAGAAATGTTACATAAAATATCCTATATTTGAGGAAATTGATAGAAAACTAAGTGGAATACAGAAAAGAGCATTCATAAAGATTAATATTAAGGTAAATGTACAGAGAAGTGGTATCTTTATTTTAGTTGCATGCAAAAAGTATGTATCTAAAGAAATAGGAAGGCCAAATACACTCCATAACAGCTGCAGATTTCAGATCAAGTCAATCTTGAGCCAGTGAGACTCGAACTGCCAAACTGCTGGCAGTCAGCAGTCAGCACAATTAGCCTGCAAAACTGCATTCTAACCACTGCGTCACCACAGCTCATATGGGGGAGTGCTGTTCCAGAGGGCAGGAGAAGAAGACTAGTCTCCAAAGTCCCATAAGACAATGCTGTATGGAGCATGTTGACCCTGCGATATTTTATTAGAGGGACAGAAATAATCAAAGAGAAGCAATCCTGCAGATATTTAGACTCTAAGCTATGAAGAATTTCATAGATGACAACCATCTTCTTAATTTGGACCCATAAGTAATGGTGTCTCAGGGACTAAACAAGGGGTAACCCTTGCATTTGAGAACAGCTGTAGGTCTGAATGGTCTTCAAGGATACCCCTCATAGTATGTCCTTGTGTATCAAAGTAGTCCAAATAATAGGCAACCTGAAAATTAATGATCATTTTTTTATGTCCAAGTTTTTTATTAATTTTCCAATATTGCATTTACATATTTGAAAAATAGCATGGCAGTTGAGCATCGTAATTCCATTACATTTAAATATCATCAGTACAAATCTCAAAGTATTACAACAACAAATTCCCTCTCTTTCCCCCATAAGATCTACTATCATATTCAGATCAATACAGTTCTTATTCTATCAATGAAACAAAAACTACCTTTCTAATATTCATCAATAATCTTCAGTCTATACATATCTTAATTAATTTGACAAATTAAAATCTTAAGGGAAAATCAATTACCAGGTTACTGATTTGCTAAAAGTTTGAATGTTTATAGATAACTAAGACTTAAATTTAAGATATTGTCATGAGTTGAGACACAGGTTAAATAAAACTTAGAAGTATAAATACTAATAATTAAATTTGTATATTAGCTTGTGGTATAAATGCTGATGGTTTATTTATTTATTTATTTTTCTCTTTTTCTGGAAAGGAAGAAAGGAAAGAAATAGAAAAAGGAAAAGAAAAGAAAAATTATTAGCCCCAAATATGAGATAGGAGACTGAGAAATTTGGATCATTTAAAATCTGGAAATGATAAAGATTAAACGTTAAATTTAAATATTAATGAAAAATTAAAGTTAAGAAAAACTTATTAGGCTATTGTCTAAAAAATTAATGATCATTTGAAGGGCCTCCTAATTGAGGTATGATTGGCATGCAAGATGATATGAATCTGCGTTAAAATCATGTTACACTTAAAAAACACCTGCTGCTTGGCATTGTGTGGATGTGATACCACAAAAAAATAATTAAGTTTTACCAATCTTATCACTAAATTTAGGCCTTAATATGGGTTTGTGCACATTTTCATTGGGACTCTATCTTATCTTAGCTATGATTCTGACAGTTCTTTCTGGAACCTACTCAACTGCCCTCCAATCTTCATAAATCTAATCTCTCCCAATCTCTAAGGAGTCACACTAGGTTCTGAGAACCACTCATCCAGTTCACATCACCCTAATCAATCAGCCTAACCTTATAAAGAAGTGATGCATCTCATTTCTTATGAGTGAGTTGCCTGAAAGCCCAGAATGGTTTTGAATAACAGTTACTTGGGGACAATTAAGGTAAAGGGAGTTTTGTATTGGGAAATGGGCAATTATTGCCAATCTTACAATCCTTGTGGAAATGAACACTATTTTTATTTCATTTTTGCTGTATTTCTATATTCCTTCCTTCCTCCCCTCTTTCCCTCCCTCCCTCCCTCTCTCCCTCTTCTTTATTATGGTAAAGAAGCCAGTAACAGAAAGGGAAAATCAATTCTATTTTACTCCTAAAATTTAAGGACAGAATATATTTTCCACTGCACTAAAACTCGTGCGGTGTTGTCTTGCCATCAGCCGAGGGTTCTTGAGGTCACCACTTAATAGCATAGGTTGGCAAAGCTTTCTGTTTCCATCTGAAAGACAGCCAGAACAATGGTCTGATCCAGGAATCTCAATTATCTCACTGTACAATCTCCAGTACAATTATGTCTGTCTGTCTATCTGACTGATTGATTGTCATTGTTATTTTTCACCACAACTTTGTTGTACATGGTTTTTAGAAACCAATGGCTTTGGGGTTTGTTTGTTTTTTCATTGCCAAAATACATGTTGGCAAATCCTGATTACTATTAATGTTTCTACTATAGTAGCATCTCTTTTGTTGACTCTTGAAAAATCCACTCCTACAGAAATCCATGGATTTTTCTTCCCTTTCTTCCATATAATGTGTTGATCGATATTGACCCAGAAAATTGAAAAAAGTGCAATGTAAGCTGTAAAATCATAAAGTGATGGACTTCTAAAATTACTCTCAAGATTCCCAGTTTACATATTCATAAAAATTGTTTTTTCAACCTGATTCAGCTGAGCAGAACGATTGGCGGTTACTTGTAAATCTCTTTGGACTGCCGTGTGTTCCAATTTGTTGGATATCTTGGTTTAAAAATGGAAAGATTAAATTATTCCTTCTTTTGAATTAACACTTTGTCAAAGATACCTATTTTCATATTCTATGCCCCAATATATGTAATAGAAATGTCAAGCTTCAGATTAAACAAGCAAACAAACAAAGAACCACTCACTTTCTTATCTCCTTTTCCTTTCATTTCACCACAGAAGACAAGATATGGACAGTGATGCAGCACAATAACACAGAATTGACTCATGTCCACGGATCTGATCCTAGGAAGCCATACACCATGAACTTCAGTTACAATAGCAGCGGGGATCAGCTGGAAGCAATAACAAATAATGCTGAATATTGTGAGCAGGAGACAATTTACCATTGCAAAAAGTCACGTCTGCTGAATTCCCCAAGTAAGTGCCATCAAGTGAAATCTTTCTGGTTTTTATTTTTGTTTTTATTGTTTTAGTGTCTATAATACAGCAATATGCATATTCTCAAATAAGGTTGAATAATTGAAATGAGAGTATAGCTAGTATTTATTTATATTCTGCCTTTATTATTTTTATAAATAATTCAAGGTGGTGAACCTACGTAATATTCCTTCCTTCTTCCTATTTTCTCCACTACAATAACCCTGTGAATGGGTGTTGGACTGAGATAGAGTGACTGGCCCAAAGTCAATAATACAAAATGATAGGAAGTATAAAATAGTAGAAAACATTTTAAAAAGCAATATCTTAATAGCAAATACTACTTTATGTTGGTGATACATAATAGTGTTATCTTTTAAAAGCAACTTCTATATGGTCAGCTTGTTCCATTTATTTAAGACAAATTAAGAGGATGTGAAAATCTTATAATTATATCAAATAATTATAAGATTAACCAAAATCTTATAATTATAAATAACAACTATTGATGTTACCATACATAAATCAAAACTGTTCTTATACAGGGCTAACACGTCCATGTTGAAAAATCCAGGTGACCCACTAAAAGGCAGCAAAGAGATACAGAAACACTAATTCTTTTATGACTACTTATATTCTTCATTTAAGTAAATACAGTTTTCTCAATATTTGGAGTAGACAGAATTAAAGCTCTTTCTAAGTAATCAATAGGGCAGAATAGCTAATAATTATGGGGAGTAACAGAACTTCAATCATTAACAGAGAAGTACTCTTGTTAAAAGCACTCTTCATACATAACTAATTAGTATGTAATTAGCATTTGGGAGAGCTCATAAAGAGATAAAGATTATTTTTTTTTTCAAAATGAAGCCAGACATGTTTATGAAAAATGCTTTATTATACATTTGCAATTTAATACTTGGCAGCTGAAATCAGGAACTCTTGAGATGGTTTTGACTGAAATATTAAGAATATCTCATAAAGGGATTTGATATTAGTTTAACAAAATGAATCTTTTGTTCTTTATTTATTTTTATCTCACATTCATTGTTTTTATAAGTAACTCAAGAACATAGCTAATATTCCTCCTCCTATTTTTTTTTTCACAACAACAACTCTGTAAAGTGGGTTGGGCTAAGAGAGAGTGAGTGAGTGGCCCAAAGTTATACAACCGGTTTTCATGCCTAAGGAGGGACTAGAACTCGCAGTCTCCTGGTTTCAAGCTTGGTACCTTAACTTCCAGACCAAACTGGCTGAATTTTTCTTAGATCAAATAGGGCTCTTCTTCCTTAATTGGCTAATTAATTTAGCTCTATATCTTACAGAAGAAGGTGAATCTATGCTCTCCAGCTTAATCAGAAGCTAAAGTGATTAAAAATAAAATAACAAACAAATAATGATTTGTCAAAAATGCTTTTATCTATACTTCAATTGATCATTTTCTTGTCACTATCCCAAACAGTATTTGTCAGTTGTCTATAGGTGTTGTTATACACAGTGCTTTTTCTGTAAAAAAAAAAAAAAAGTGCCAGAATTCACACATGTCATACAACCCGCCTTGCCTACCCTACAAGGTTCCAGCCAAAAAAAGGTGCCAGAACTCTGTTCTGGGCGTTCTATGACAAAAAAAGCCCTGGTTATTTCAAACAATAGGGAACATAGCCTCCTGTCTTCTGAGAATATTTAATGGTTCTCAGATGCATCTTCTACAACAGGGGTGTCAAACTGCCGTCCCACGGGCCAGATGCATCATGCAGAAGCCACACCCACCCAGCTCCAGCAAAGGGAAAGAAGTTGCGATATGTCACGACATATCACCTGTCACGGCGAGTTTGACATCCCTGTTCTACAATGTAATTATCACTTGACTAATTAAAATTTTCATTTTGAGAATGATTGCCTACAACCTATTCATGATGGTGCCTTGTTTCTTCCTGGCAAAGCTGACACTTGTTTTTTTTTTGCATATTTTTGTTTTAAAAGTCATTCTACATAGAAGGAATCAAAAAATGTGTAATGCAAATATATAATTGTCATCAAAGAAGAAATGTTAAATGGCTTGCAGTATGTTATTACTAGAAAATGCTTGAACTGCTATACATAAGTGGTTCTTCAGAAAATGGGAGTGATATTTTCAAAGTTCAAAGGGATGGTTTAATAGCTACCTCTCTAGCCTTTATTTATGCAATCAAAGTTCTATGTATCTTACGTTGGAGCAAGATGCTCAGATTGTTTAGGTTGAAGTACGCCATAAATAAGCTATTTTGGGAGAGGAACAAATGTGATTATTAAAAACATGCTGTTTACAGGTAGTCCTTGACTTAACGACCACAATTGAGCCCAAAATTAAGACAGTTGGGGAATTCTGGAAGTTGAAATCCACAGATGTTAAAGTTCCCAAGATTTAGAAACATTGCTATAAAGTAATGGATCCTGTCATACTAATGCCTTCCACTGGTTATGCTCCTTGGTGCAAGTGCTATCTGCCTGTATGCCCATCCATCCATCATTTATTTTTATCACCTTATTGATTAAAATAGTAACTCAAGCTATTTTGTCTTCCTGAAAGATTTTAGGCTTGATTGCCAAAACCTCACGTGATTTGGTTTAAATCATGTACTTTTGTTTTAAAATATAAATATTTTAATTGAGTTTATAGGTTTTATAGGCCTGTTTTGAAGAAACCATGCACATTATGGTGCCTGCAAGGCACCATAAATGAAAAGGAACAGTGCCACTGAATGTGAACAGTCCAATAGAGAAGATGATCTTCACAGGATATTTTAGAATACTTAAAATGCTAATGAAGATGCTAGATTTATATTGTACTAGAACAGCCTTCCCCAAATTTGTGCTTTCCAATAGTCTAAGAATTTTAATCGTAGCATATACTGTACTGTAAGGAGAAACTCAGGTTGACCAAGTAGATGGAAGGAGATAGAGCAAATCTTTACAAGTAGAATAAGCTGGCAAGCAGACATACATAATTGGATCTGGCTACTGTGCAAACAAAGACAATCTTTTACAGGCTGTCCAAGTCAAAAGATGCAACTAAAAGGCTTGCATAGACAGTCATTTTGTGACCTTGAAAGGACATCATAGGCCAAGGAACCTTGTAACTTGTAGCTCCCAGCTAGCTTCTCAGATGACACAGAAGAGCACAGATTTAAATTTAAAGGATTCTAGCATTAGTGGTTGTTGATCCATAATAACTTTTACTGAAAAAGAAGATAAGTTAGTGCAGAAACAAGTTTTTGCATGGTGATTCTAAAAATTGAAGAAAAGGAAAGTTTATTGCAGCTTTCTCAGATTTATTGACATATTGAGTATATATAAGAAAGGTGACCATATGCAGGGATGTGCTGAAATCAGGTTGTATGTTTCGTAAGAGCCAATTGTTGATTTTTTGAGGGGAATTTTGTAAATTGGCTGAGTAGAACTGAGTGTTTGGCCACAATAAAGCCAGCAGAAGCAGTTGTTACACATTTATTTAGCACACATTTACACACGTTTTTAAAGTAAAGTGATTTAGAATCTTTGAGTTTGAAACCAAACAAGAGGAAAGATTAAGTTGGAGAGTATATGTAGATGAAATTAGCTATTTAACTACAATGTTTGTTCAATTCTTGTTTAACCAAAAATAACACTGATGGTTGGATGGTTCTAATTGAATGTGAATACCGTATTTTCTGGCGTATAAGATGACTTGGCGTATAAGACGACCCCCAACTTTTGAGAAGATTTTCATGAAAGTCGTCTTATACGCTGGAAAATATGGGTACTTTAACTTTCATCCCAATGGGACTAGCTGGCCCCTTTCGTTCCAGAGGAAGCCTGCCAGACCGCTTCCGGGACGACACCCCATGGGTAGATCGCTCTGTCATCTGTGCAGCGAGAGCACCAGCCACGGCAGCTGGTTGCCAAAGAAGCGGCCGAGCACGGAGGAGGAAACGCTGAGTGTCCATCCGTTGGGGTCTCAGGGCTTCTGGCACTCAGCGCAATGGCACCGGGTGCAGTCAACCCCAAGGAAGTGGCACCCTCTGCGCAGCCCGCCAGCTCCCACCAGCTGCTTCTGCCACCCACCTGAGCAGAGGCTGGTGGCGGGGTGCTTTCCCTGGGGGAGGAAAAGCCCCGCTCGCACTGCCTCCCTCCACTGCCCTAGACTGGGAGGAGCAGGATCCCTGCCTGAGGGGCAAACGCTTCTGCGATATTGCTGGCTTTCTGCGAGTGCTGAGCAGCACTTCGGCAGCAAGGGGGGGCGGGGGCACTTTTTCTCGGGAAGCCCTCGCCGCTGACCCAACATGGGCATTCTTACTCAGCTGGCTCTCCGCCAGCTCTCCCGCCATTGGTCCGCCAACGCTCCAACCTCGCCCCTTCCTCCTGGCTGTTTCTCGGAGGGACACTTTTCTAGGGCTATTTGGCTGCGTGGGTCCCTTAAACTCTCATCCGGACAGCCAATCCCCGTGCCAAGGGGTGAGGAGCATGGGGCGCAGGATACCGGGAGCTTGCTTTGATGTACCCATATTTTCTGGTGTATAAGATGACTGGGCGTATAAGACGACCACCAACTTTTGAGAAGATTTTTATGGTTTAGAAAGTCGTCTTACACACCGGAAAATACGTATCTGTTTTAGTTCATTCTGAAAAAAAATATGTTTAGGGACTCTAAACTTTAAGTACCAGTTCTTAAATATATTTAGAGGCATCAACAGAAGGAATATTCTGTATTCTGTTTAAGAATACAGAACTAAGTGTCACATTTCTGCATATTATTGTAACCATTTTAATAAGCACTTCAAAAAATACATTTCAGACATGGATAACATTTCATACTACAGCATCACAAATACAAGATTCACACCAAAAAGTATATTGTTATAAAATATTTAATAGGGCTGATAGGTAATTTATACTTGAAATTTAAATAAAGCATTCTTGGTTCTAGAATTAAAAGATCAACCCTGATGTGCAGAATTCAGCTCTGTTTTTTGACAAATTGC